TGTTAAGTTTAATGTATTTTATAGGTGTAATTATTACTTTCTTTCTTTTTGAGACATACTTTTACTGATGTTGGTGGCTGTGTCAGGGATCAGACTGCTGTATCTCCTTTTCTGTCTTATCTTGTACTCTCTAAGCACATATATATATATGAATGTTTTGGAGCTAAGTGTATAACACACACTTTAGCTTTTCTCTCATATTCCGTCAGTTTTCTCAACTTGGTATCAGAGCGGGTTCGACCCGCTCTGCCTGTCATCGTCCACCGCCGCTGTCCGCGTCTCCGGCCGCCGCTCATCGTCTCCGGCCGCCGTCCGCCGCCGGCCATTTTCCGGCGAACCCTAGGGGTTGGTGCGCCTTGTCAAACGCAACCCAACCCAAGTGGTCACAGAGGCAAAAGCCTCTTCACATCTTCTCACGCGCTGCATCTTTGGGCTGCTACACCAGGCGTGCACTGTTAACGTACCGATCTGCAGCCACCGGAAAACGGCCACGCCACCAACAGTTCTTCGTTGACACCTTCTGGGTCTGTTTCAAAGCTCTCTTTGTTGTTTTCTGGTCTATTTGGAGAGTGGGTCTGTTTCTCTCTTCCTTTTGGGCTTTCTTTTTCATCTATTTCAGCAACATGTCCAGCTCTGGCCCTATTTTTTCCATTTCTGGAACTCCCACAATAACAGCAGAGAAACTTAATGGCAAAAACTACCTGTCTTGGTCTGCCTCTGTAGAGTTATGGTTTCTTGGGCAGGGATATCATGACCATTTGGAGAAGGATATTACTGAAATATCCTCTGAGAGTCAAGAACTGTGGAAAAAGCTTGATTTTCAACTGTGTGCTTTGCTGTGGCAGTCAGTAGAGCCCAACATTTTAGGAACCTTGAGAACTTTCAAAACTTGTCATTCCTTTTGGAAGAAAGCTCAAACTATATTTGCCAATGACATTCAACGTCTATATGATTCAGCTCACAAGTTAGCATCTCTCAAACAAACTGATGATGACATGGTCTCTTTCATTGCCCAAGCACAATCAGCAGCTGAGGAGCTGAAAATGTTTTTAGAAGCTGATTCTGTGGAAGAGATGAAAAAGAAACTTGATAAGTTGTGTATGGTGTTGATTCTGCGTGCCATGAACTCTAATTTTAATCATATTCGTGACCAGATTTTGACAGATCAAGAAATCCCTTCAATGGAGAACCTTGTAACGCGTCTTCTTCGTGTTCCAAGTTCGAAAAATAGTGCAAGTTTGGTTGAACCTACTGAATCTTCAGCAATGGTTTCTACCCGAGGAAGAGGAGGTCGTGGAAACCGTGGAGGCCGTGGTGGCAGGAGTGGTCGGCCCCAGTGCTCATATTGTAAAAGAATGGGTCATACTCAAGAGACTTGCTATTCCTTGCATGGCTTTCCTGAAAAAACTGCCAATGTCTCCAAAATTGAAGACTCTAAATCTGATAAAAAAATTTCTGAGGAGGAATATCAAGAATATCTTCGGTTGAAATCCAATAGTCAAGCTCAATCTTCCTTTGTTCCTAATATTTCAACAGCATGCATTTCTCAATCCACGGAGAGTCAAGGTCCATGGATAATAGATTCTGGTGCTTCTGACCATATGTCTGGTAATAATTCTTTGTTCTCTTCTATTTCCTTACCTAAAGTTCCTCATTTCATTACCTTGGCTAATGGATCCAAAGTCGCTTCCCAAGGAGTTGGTCAAGTCTCTCTCACCCCTTCCTTGAACTTAAAATCTGTCCTCTTTGTTCCTAAATGTGCTTTTAATTTAATTTCTTTGAGTAAATTAACCAAATCATTAAATTGTTCTGTTACCTTTGATGCTAATTCCTTTGTTATTCAGGAACGTGGCACGGGTCGGTTGATTGGAGGAGGACATGAATCTAGAGGACTCTACTATTTTGAAACTAGCCCCTCTGTCTCTTGTTTTGCATCTTCGACTCCTAAACTTTTGCATGATCGTTTGGGTCATCCTCACCTGACAAAATTAAAGAAAATGGTTCCTAGCCTTAACAAACTTCAAGCCTTAGAGTGTGAGTCTTGTCAACTAGGGAAACATGTTAGGTCTTCATTTCCAAAAAGAACTGAAACAAGATGTAACTCTGCTTTTTCCATCATTCATTCAGATATTTGGGGTCCAAGCCGTGTCACATCTTTTGGGTTCAGATATTTTGTCACATTTATTGATGAATACTCTCGATGTACTTGGATTTATTTAATGAAAGATCGATCTGAACTTCTGTCCATTTTCATGTCTTTTTGCAATGAAATTAAGAATCAATTTGGGAAAATAATAAAAGTCCTTAGGAGTGATAATGCTAAAGAATATTTTTCTTCAGATCTTACATCCTTTCTAACTACATATGGTATTTTACATCAATCTACTTGTCCTCATACACCACAACAAAATGGTATAGCAGAAAGAAAAAACAGACATTTAGTTGAAACTGCTCGTACCTTATTACTTAGTACCAATGTTCCCGTCCATCATTGGGGTGATGCAATTCTTACGGCTTGTTTTCTAATAAATAGAATGCCATCCTCCTCTCTTGATAATAAAATTCCTTATTCAATTCTTTTTCCAAATGAACCTCTATTTCACGTTTCTCCTCGTGTTTTTGGTTGTGTCTGTTTTGTCCATGATTTATCTCCAGGTTTGGACAAGCTCTCTGCTAGAGCCATTAAGTGTGTTTTTCTGGGTTACTCTCGACTTCAAAAAGGTTATCGTTGTTATTCTCCAGACACCAGACGATACTACATGTCTGCTGATGTCACCTTCTTCGAAGACACTTCGTTCTTTTCATCTTCCATGCAAGTTTTAGATTCTATTCAACAAGTATTACCTGTTCCATTTCTTGAGTCAGTGTTGACCCAGTCTCCTGAAACTACCAATCAAAACATAGATCCAAATCCTTCTCCAACTATCAACCCACCTGAACCATCTTCACCACCCCTCATCACTTACCAACGAAGAATACAAAGGGACAATTCAACACATCATGGAGAGCCATCTGTTTCATGTTCTTCACCATCAACTGCACCTACCACGATTCCCAATGATGAAGATTCTAGTTGGCCAATTGCTCTTCGCAAAGGTATTCGATCTACTCGAAATCCTCATCCTATTTATAATTTTTTGAGTTACCATCGTTTATCCCCTTCATATTTTTCCTTTGTTTCATCCTTGTCTTCTATCACCATTCCTAAAAATATCAATGACGCACTTGCTCATCCTGGATGGCGACAAGCCATGGTTGTTGAAATGCAAGCTCTTGAAAGTAGTGGGACATGGGAATTGGTTCCTCTTCCACCTGGGAAAAAGACAGTTGGTTGCAGATGGGTTTATGCCATCAAAGTTGGGCCTGATGGTAAGCTTGATCGCCTTAAAGCTAGGTTGGTGGCCAAAGGATACACTCAGATATATGGCCTTGATTATGGTGACACCTTTTCTCCTGTGGCCAAAGTCACTTCTGTTCGACTCTTTCTTGCTATGGCCGCTATTCGCCATTGGCCCCTCCATCAGTTAGATATTAAAAATGCCTTTCTTCATGGTGATTTAGAAGAGGAAATCTATATGGAGCAACCTCCTGGATTTGTTGCTCAGGGGGAGTGTGGATTAGTTTGTAAATTGCGTCGATCTCTCTATGGGCTCAAACAATCTCCACGAGCTTGGTTTGGAAAATTTAGTCACGTTGTACAGAGTTTTGGGCTCAACCGTAGTGAGGCAGATCACTCAGTTTTTTATTGTCATACCTCTTCTGGAAAATGTGTTTATCTAATTGTGTATGTTGATGACATAGTTATTACAGGAAATGATTCTGTCAAGATTTCCCAGCTGAAAAGGCATTTAGTCAGCCACTTTGAGACCAAGGATCTCGGTTATCTTAAATACTTTCTTGGTATTGAGGTGGCTCAATCAAAGGAGGGCATTGTTATTTCACAAAGAAAGTATGCTCTAGATATTCTGGAGGAGACAGGCATGATTAATTGCAAGCCAATTGATAGTCCTATGGACCCAAATAAGAAGTTAGTGGCAGACCATGGTGAGCCATTCTCAGATCCAGAGAGATATAGAAGGCTTGTTGGAAAACTTATTTATCTCACGATCACTAGACCTGACATCTCCTTTGCAGTTGGGGTTGTCAGTCAATTCATGCAAGCTCCTTATATTGATCATTGGAATGCTGTGATTCACATTCTCAGGTACATCAAAAAGAATCCAGGACAAGGACTACTGTATGAGGATAAGGGAAGCACCCAAATTTCTGGTTATTGTGATGCTGATTGGGCAGGATCTCCTATAGATAGACGCTCTACTACCGGATATTGTGTTTTTATTGGAGGAAATATCATTTCTTGGAAGAGCAAGAAACAAAACGTTGTTGCTCAATCTAGTGCAGAAGCAGAATATAGAGCTATGGCTACAGCCACTTGTGAGTTAATATGGATTAAGCAACTCCTTCAAGAATTAAAGTTTTGCGATGTTAAGCAAATGAAGTTGTATTGTGACAACCAGGCAGCTCTCCATATTGCTTCCAACCCCGTGTTCCATGAAAGAACTAAACATATAGAAATTGACTGTCACTTTGTTCGACAAAAGCTATTATCCAAAGAGATTGGTACTGAATTCACCAGTTCAAATGATCAACTAGCAGATATTCTCACCAAGTCTTTGAGAGGGCCTCGAATTAAGTTCATATGTTCCAAGCTTGGAGCATATGATTTATATGCTCCAGCTTGAGGGGGAGTGTTAAGTTTAATGTATTTTATAGGTGTAATTATTACTTTCTTTCTTTTTGAGACATACTTTTACTGATGTTGGTGGCTGTGTCAGGGATCAGACTGCTGTATCTCCTTTTCTGTCTTATCTTGTACTCTCTAAGCACATATATATATATGAATGTTTTGGAGCTAAGTGTATAACACACTTTAGCTTTTCTCTCATATTCCGTCAGTTTTCTCAACTGATGTGATATTTTGTGACATAACATGTAAAGATATAAATAAAAAAAATAACATACAAAACAAATATTTGTTTGTATTTATTTTGACGAGTGATTATTATTTGTTTGTATTTCTTTAAAGTTTTTTATTTTTATTTTTATTTTATTTTATCTCCAAACGTCATATTACTAAATGTCACATCACTTGAGTATGAATAAATGTTAAAACTTAACAATTAATAAGTGTCATTTTGAATGGAGGACCAAAATTCCGTATTTCTAAAATTAGAAGGATTAAATATCTCTATTTTAAAATAGAGGGGCCAAAATTGAAGATAGATGAAAATAGTGGGACCAAATGTGTAATTTAGTCTAATTAATAATTATTTAATATATAATGTAATTATAAAATATAATATTAGAATAGCGGTCATCCCGCTCTCTGCTATTGAAGTTAATGGCTCTGCCCTGCTATCTAAGATTAATAACTATGGTTATAGCTATGTTTTTAGGTTTTCAGTAATTTGGATTTGATTCTTGTCAATCATATCTGTGGGTTCAATGAAATAAATCTTTTGGATGCAGGATCTACAGCCTATAGACAGATTTGTGATGGAAGAGTATCTCCTTGATGTGCTGCTATTCTTAAATGGCTGGTTTGTATACACCACTTGTTTTCTTTTATATATACTAGAAGAGTAGTGGTGACCTTGTGAATCTGGGATGGAGTTTGAATACAAAAGTTAAACTATACTGAAATACATTATGGAATGCCTATTTGGTGTTATGAATATATATTTTTTGATACTGTTAATTGTCTTTGAAAACTTCCTAATTCTATCATGTTACATCAATGGAAATTTAGGGTATGTGTATTTAATCTATTTAGAATTCACTTTTGAAATTCCTCTAGTCCCTTTTTAATATTTCATATCTGCCTCATCTCTGTTTATTTATTTTATTTATTCATTTATTAATGTGTATATATTCATTTTTTTTCTATAAAAATGATTTTAATGTAATTATAACTGTTGTCATTTTGGGTTCATGCAAAGCTAGTCGAAAGGAATGTGCTTCTTTCATGGTTGGGCTGCCAGTTTCCTTCAGATACGAGTACCTCATGGCCGAGACAATATTCTCTCAGGTATTACATGTAAAATTGCAATCTCCCCTACCTCTTCTGTAACTTTAAAGCTTCAGCAATTAACATTGTTATGGAAGCTTTCTTTGGGCCTTCAAATGGACTCGAGCATGTTGCTTTTTGAAGCTTAAGAACAATGATATTGCTTTCCAAGGAAATGTTACGTAACATCTATTGTCTAAGGAATGTTATGGACATGAAGCAATTCAATGAAGTGGGAAAAAGAAAAAGAAGCTTTTCCTCTTTTCTTAACATTCATTCAATGTCTTATCGATCCTGGGAATAAATTGATAGGGTCCCAGTAGAAAATCTAGTTAAGAAAACAGATAGCAATGTGCTTTTGCACTTTCAGGTGCTTGAAGTTAAGGTTGAAGTTTTTGCATTGTATTAGTGAGGTGTCAATTTTTCCTTAACACCTTACATAGGAGTGGATCTTGTGGTTGGTTCATGGTGGTCGATTTTGTAGTAAGATGCAAAGGAAAATTTTACAGAGATGTTCTGTACTTCTATAATTTGGTGCATATCTATCAATCCTGATGTTACAGGCTTGATCCCAAAGCCCAGAATCACTAAAGTCTATGAGTGAAGGAAAAAAAAGATATGATGCACCAGATCACACTTCCAAAGAGGTGTGATAACTATAGGCACTCTCAAACTGCCTATAGTTATTGTTTTTTTCTTCCTGCCCTTTTTTGTAATCACTGCTAAATGGGAATCTGGATTATTTTTTCCAGGATTGTTAAATAAATAATACAATGAGTATTTTTCCAATTGTGTTACTCCTGTTAGGATACCTAACACCTAGATAGTGTTACAGAGTGATCAACCTCAAGTGTTATAGCAGGATAATGATAGAAGGTTGGCTGCTGTACAGATGATTATAGATACATGACAACAGTTTAGACATATAAGTGAAACAAACTAAATAGTTGTTTAAAATTAAATACATATTCATAGTTTATACTCAAGCCATAGTCTAACATACAATTACCAAACAAAAAAAGGAAAATGGTAGAATCAATTAGAAAAAAAGAACAGAAAGGGTGACTGTGAAGAACACAAAACATACAAAAATTGAATAGTCCTTAGTGAACAGATTCATGGGTAAGCAGAGGTCAGCAAGCAGTGACTGTGCTGGAAACTGCCAGACAAATAGTGGGTGTGGCTTTTCAACAGAAACAGTACCGGTGAGCACTGGGTCATGGGTTGGCTTGGAACAGAGGTCAACTTTTTTGTGTTTTATGCATGCATGATCCGGGAAGGGTATCAAGCCCTATTATGTTTCTGATGCCAAAATTAAATAGGAAATAATAAAAAGGTAAAAAGAAGGCCAGGAAGCTCTGCAAGAGGCAAAGATGAATTTTTACCTGTTTCAATATATCAGCTGTGATGGCCATGATTTTCATTGAAGAAGTTGGTATAGGCACCCTGTAGTGGTCTCAGGGGCACTCCACTCTGCTTTGGCTTCATAGTATGCAAATTGACTATTTGGCTACTCTGATTTGTTGTATATTTTGATTAAGTGAAATGCAACAATTTCTTTAGTGCTCTGAAATTGTTCTCTTTTTTTCGCTGGATTGAGGTACAGGGTATGCCAAATTAATATATCTTTTCTTGTAGATCTTTTTTGTTTGTCATGTATATATAATCAATGTCCTCTGAAATGCAGTGTGGATAACCATGATTTAAATTCGATGGTTTTGATTGTTTTTAAATTTAAAGCAATTGGATAGCAATTATTGATTTTTAAGAATCCATTCATATCAATAACATTACAGGTGTTTCTGTGATAGTTGTTTGAAGGGAGTGAAGAGTGTTTTTGTTTATTAGTATCCCCCCCTAATCTTTTGGGTTTACTTCTTTTATCTTTATTTATTTTTCCCTATATTTATCAGTAGTCTTTCATTTTATTTCTTTTTTCTTTTATTTTTTTTCTAAATTTATCAAAATATTTTTGTATTTTTTATATTTATTTTTTGAAGGCAATAATTTCAATAATCGATAACGGGAGGATGGCTTAGTGAATCCAACTGCTATTATGTATTTTTTTAGTGTTCTTTATTGAAATTGTCTTCAATCTTTTTTTTATTTTTTTATTTTGTAATAAACATGTTATGTAAATTAAATGCACCAAAATATTTAATTTTATAATTTTATTTTGTTGACATTTGTGAGTTTGTACTTTTGATTTGAGTGGCTGTGTTTGACTTAGAATGTTGGTGGATTAGTAATGCTATATCTCTCTCTCTTGCAGCTGCTGATGCTACCCCAACCACCTTTCAAACCAGTATATTACACACTGGTTATTATTGACCTTTGTAAGGTACTGTCAAGTTGACATGATATTGCGAATTTTATCACTGGGGAGTTGTTGCTTCAATACAGTTTTATATAGATTTCAAATTTCATTTCATGTTCAATGCTTTCTAATCATTTGGTTACCCAATAGGCTCTTCCTGGAGCTTTTCCTGCAGTTGTAGCTGGTGCTGTTCGTACTCTCTTTGAGAGGATTGCTGATTTGGATATGGAGTGTCGGATGCGTCTGATCCTTTGGTTCTCACACCATTTGTATGTTCAGAATTTTAGCTATTGCATTACTGGATGTATCATTCAAGATACTATCTACTGTTCATGTTCTGCTTGAAGTATATCTTATCCTCCCCAGCTGTACCTCTTTCGTATCTCTAATACAATTTGTTTTCTCACGCTTGTTTGGTTTAGGACAGTTGTGCAACAATTGCATTATTAACTGCAAAATTATCATTTATCAATAAACCATTAGTCATTTGCCCAAGCCCAAGCCCAAGCCTAAGCCCATCACTACCTTTCTTAAATGTTAGCCTATGAAACAACCATTCAACTAAATGGCTATTAAATGGTTAAAATTTATTTACCAGCTAGAGTTTTAGGATGTGTAATGCACATGTTAAATATTTATTATATATAACTAAAATTTATGATACATTATATATATACAAATAAATATTATGTTTGAATATATCAATCATATTTAAAATTTGTATAAATAAATATTTTTAAACATATATTTAATATTTTAAATTTATGATAAATAGTTTATTGTACAGTATAATATTATTTTTATTTATTGATAATTTATTTTAAAATGTTAAAATTTAATTCCAAAATAATCATGATAAATAAAAAATGAATTAGATAAGAAGTTAAAAGTTTCCTAAAAATTCTCTTGTTGAAGAAAAATCCTTAAAAACACTCTTGTAGAAGATAAAAGTATAAGGCTTGATTACCAATTTACCATTACTGGATTGATAGTAGGATAACCAAACATGATTGTTAACACTATTATTTTCTCTGTTGTAATTTTATTTTCATTTTCAATATGATAATATCTGAAATTGCCTTTGTACCTGGTCCTATTTCTCTCTAGTGAATATTTTTTTTGAATAAAATAGGGAAATTATAAGAAAGGAAGTTTTGATAGAAGTATATCTAGTTTAGGAATAATTCAGCAACTCAAGTGGTTGAAGTCAATATGTTGTTACTTGTTTAATCATTTTTAAAAAATCATTAACTGGTTCAGAGGTTAATCCCCATCCTCTGCCAAAGTTAAAGTTCAACTCGATCCATGCTGCAGTATTGCTTGAATTTCTTTTGCATGGGCTGCTGGAATTGATGATGATCCATTGTTAAGTGCCAAAGGGTATAGTGACTTCAAATAAAGATTGCAGTGTCTTTTATGACTCTGCAATGTGGGAGCTGTTTAGGTCAAAAGGATTATGTCATGTTCCTATAAGCAAAGTAGGTGAATGATTATGACTTTATAAGGATTAATGAAATTGAGCTGGTGATAATGATGAGGCAGTTGATGTTTTATATTGAAGTTGCTATTAGCCTTAAATGGTGGTTTTAATTGGTTCCAAGATAGAGGACTAATTTGCTGCTGGAAACTGGAATCAGTCGTTGTGTCATGTTTGAAGTTATCCTATACATAGTAGTCAATAGCGGCCGGAGCGGCCGCTATCGCGGCGCTCCGGAGCGGAGCGGCCTCACCCCGCAATCTCGCTGCTGTCGCGTGGCGAATTTGTGTAGCGGCCGGAGCGGCCGCGTCGGAGGCGGAGCGGAGCGGCACAAATCGCGGAATCGCGGGCGCGATTTCGACTTACCCTTCATTAAGGGTAAGTCAGTCTTTTCAATGGGGCTTTTTTTGCCCTAAGTCTCCCTTTCCCTCTCGCGATTTCAATTGTCGCAGCCCTCTCTCGTCTCTCCCTCTCAGATTGTTTCTTCTTCTCTGGCGATCGTGCGTGCAGCTCCGACGAACTCCGGCTCCGACGCACCTCCGTCGCCGACGCGCCTTGAGCTCCGACGCACCTCCAACTCCGACGCGCCTCCCGGTCCGACGCGCCTCGCTTAGTTCGTCTTCTCCTTCGAGTATTCTCTCCTTTATGTACATTGCAACATAATTTGTTTTTTAATTTTTTATTAAATTATTATTATTTTTTTAAATTCTGATTAAATTTAATTCAACAAATTTTATTTTTAAATTCTGATTAAATTTAATTCAACAAATTTTATTTTTAGTTTCTGATTAAATTTAATTCAGCAAATTTTATTTTTAATTTCTAATTAAATTTAATTCAGTAAATTTTATTTTTAATTTCTGATTAAATTTAATTCAGCTGATTTTATTTTTAATTTCTGATTAAATTTAATTCAGAAAATTTTATTTTTAATTTCAGAAAATTGTATTTTTAATTTTTGATTAAATTTAATTTATCAGATTTGTTTTCTGATTAAATATAATTCAACAATTTTTTAAAATTTCTTTTCTACTTTGTTTTGGAGACATTTTATATTATGTATTGTTTGAGTACTATGAACTTTTAATTATTAAAAAGGTTTAATGTATGAATTTAGAGTTATTTTTTTGTTTTTTTTAGCTTTTATATATATATTATTAATTATTTAATATATATAAATTAATATTAAAATAGCGGTTATCCCGCTCCGCGTCATCCCGCTATCCCAGTTTTAGGGTCGATCGCTCCGCGCCGCTATCCGGGATTGACTACTATGATCCTATATACATTGTGGGGATAATTGTGGGATTGTAATATTAAAGAAAATGGCACTAACTGCTGAGGCACAAAATGTCTATGATAGTGATGCATAACATTAGTTTCATGATGTATTAACTGAATTAATTTTTAATTTATAGCTCACATTTTGGTGCATCTTTTTCCAGATGACTAGTTTAATTTAACATACATACGTTGAGTCTGTGTACTATTGTGTTTGGATCCTTCCCCCCTTTGTTTTACACGGATGCTCCCTACATGGTTGACAAATGACAATCTCACTTGTTATGCCTTCTTGCCAGTTGCCATAATTCCAAATTGTGCCTCGCCCTCTTGTATTGTTTGAGAATTAGGTTTAACAATTCCAGTGTTACTACGGTTGAAATAAAATAAAATATTTTTTATATAAGCTCTTTTCTTTTTTTGATTCTAAATTGAAATATTGGCCTATGTTGTATATCAAGTGTGTTCATATTCAATTTTGTTTATGGTTTTTGCTTTGTAGATCAAACTTCCAGTTCATCTGGCCATGGGAAGAGTGGGCTTATGTCCTAGACCTGCCAAGGTGGGCCCCTCAACGTGTCTTTGTTCAGGAGGTTTTGGAGAGGGAAGTTCGCTTGTCGTACTGGGACAAAGTTAAGCAGGTAGTTGTCCATGCCAAAACCAGAGTAAATGTTACTCTTGTTGCACATTGGATCGCCCCAAGATTTGACATTACTAGACTGCATTACATGATCTTCTTTTCTCTTTTTTTTCCCGGTTATGGATCATATAGGAAAATCATAAAAGGATATGGAGAATTTTTGTAATGTTTTGTTGGAGAGAAATGGATGCTTTCAATGTTGTTAAAATTGCATTTTAAATCGTGATATCGCATGATTTATCTCATGCCTTCTTTTATCTCATGCCAAGTGCCTGCCCCACTCCATCTCTGTTTTTGGCTTTGTATTTTATTTTATCCTGGAAGAAACAAACAACTTTTATCAACTAAAACACATCTCGATAGTAATTTTTTATTATCAACCATTAGGTTAAAGTTCTAGATTCTATAATTAAACAGTTGGACTATTTTCTTGTGGTATGTGACTAATTATAACTTAAGAGTTGTATTGGATGTTATGCTTATGAATTTTCAGTTTTTGTTTGATGATTTGATTCAGAGGTTATTTTCATTATCAAGATATTTTCTATGCATTTGTATATGTTAATTGTTAAGCATGATTTTGCATTTTTAGTAAGACCTTATTGTCTTTGTTGTGATCCTATGATTTATGATATTCTAACCCCTCCCAATTCTATGTAAAATCTTGCTTTTTGCTGCTTACATTAGATGCTTTTCTATCAGCAACCGAATTGATTGAATAGGCTTTAGTTTTATTTTATATAGCTGGCATATTAATATTTTATTGTTTGTTTCGTGATATTTTGTAGAGTATTGAAAACGCACCTGGTTTAGAAGAGTTGCTTCCTCCAAAGGATGGGCCAAACTTTAGTTTGGGTGCAGAAGATGGTAAAGAAAGTAATGAAAATGTACTGTCTGGAGAGCTCAACAACATGGTTAAAGGGAAGGCTCCTGTCCGTGAAATTATCTCATGGATTGATGAAAGTGTGTTTCCAAATAATGGTCTAGAAGTTACCCTCAGAGTTGTTGTACAGACTCTACTCAATATAGGATCCAAGAGTTTCACTCATTTGATAACTGTCTTAGAAAGATATGGGCAAGTCTTTTCAAAAGTATGTCCTGACCAGGATAAGCAAGTCATGCTAATAGCTGAAGTGAGTTCTTTTTGGAAGAGTAACACCCAAATGACAGCAATAGCCATTGACAGGATGATGGGTTATCGACTTGTATCAAATCTGGCTATTGTGAGATGGGTCTTCTCAGAAGAAAATGTTGAGCAATTTCATACATCAGATCGTCCATGGGAGGTACTTAATCTTGGTTTTATGGATACATTGTTTGTAAATCTTCCCTCTGTTAAGTCTGCAGGGGTTGGAATTTGGAAACCATCTACCTTTTACTTTAAATTGTATGTTGATGTGATCAGCTTTGGATTTTTAAATTTAAATGCTGAAGATTATACATCTTTGTGTTTGGTTTGATTGTCATGGTTTACTAATCATAGCATGTATTCAATTTTTAGTTGTTCTTCATCATAGTTGCTTTATTCTTGAAAGTAATTTCCACCCGCTTTCCATCCAACAGATTCTTAGAAATGCAGTAAGCAAGACACACAATCGTATTTCTGATCTAAGGAAAGAACTACTGTCTCTTAAAAAGAATATTTCTTCAGCTGAAGAAGCTGCCAAGGAGGCAAAAGCAGAGTTAGATGCTGCAGAGTCAAAACTTACACTAGTAGATGGTGAACCAGTTCTTGGTGACAATCCTGTTAGATTGAATAGATTGAAATCACACGCTGAAAAGGCAAAGGAGGAGGTGGTGTCTCTTCAAGAATCTTTAGAAGCTAAGGAAGCTCTTCTTGCTCGAGCGATCGAGGAAAATGAGGTAATTGATGTAAAATAGGTATTGGTTAATTCTCTGCAGACAGCTTTTCATGTCAAACATGATATTGGAACTTTGAAGTGCTGGTACGGTGTCTTTTTAACACTCATTTCCCTGTTATGGTCAGAGAGAACATTTTGATCTGTGTTTGAAAAAGTGAATGTGCCAGTAGTCTGTTTCTTAATTTGGAAATATTCATCTGTCTTTCTTGTCAGTAACTCAGACGTAGATGTGCCATAGATAGCCTGTGGAAGGGTGATTGATGATAGCGATATTTGGACCAATTTACACTCCTTTGACAATATGGTAATTTTGCAACAAAAATAACATAAAAAGAAATATTAAAAAGAAACATTAGTAAAGGAGGATAAGGGATCCTCCTAAGCAAAAAAAGAAAAAAGGAAATTAAAAGTTAAAGAGAGAGAGGAGCCTACCTGACCATTTTTATAATTTGATCGCTTTCATGTTTAAGGCACTTAAAATAGCACCCTATGTCTCACTTCTATTTGATTCTGTAGTTTCTACTCTACTAGTCTCCTTGCTTTTTTATTAACGCAACTTGAATTTGCTTTAAATTGGTGTTCAAGCCATTTCTTGAGCCCTTTATGGCTTTCTCAACAGCTACTTAATTTGAATTAAATGCCCTCGACCTTATGTTTCTCATTCAATTTTCATTGCATTTGGTGGTTATTGGCACGTGCAGGCATTGTTTCTCTTGTTGTACAAAAGCTTCTCAAATGTGTTGGCAGAGCGCCTTCCTGAAGGAACTAAAGCACTGCATGAGTTGAAGTCTGCGCAAGCTGATGGGATGGCAGTGGACCCTGAAGAGCCATCATCAATGGAAGTAGACAATGAGAATGAGAGACCTCAAAATAGGTTCCAGTGCCTGTCCTGACCTAGATAAATAATATAGAATTAATTTTTTTTTCTTGCTTTGCGGAAATATGCATATTAATACTACATAATAATATTGGCTTCTTAATCTCTTCTACAGTCAGTCAAACGGTGAGAAGAAAAGTGGTGCTTATAATGTAGGTGAAAAGGAGCAGTGGTGTATCACCACTTTGGGCTACGTGAAGGCCTTTTCTAGGCAGTATGCTGCTGAGGTACTGTTCAATTCACTGCTTGCATTTGAATACCATCTTAGTTTTAAAGTTGGTAAGGGCATATCACAACAATTCAAAATTAGATTGCCCTAGATTTGGTTAGTATTAAAAACTTGTAATTTTGCACAAAGCCAGATCTTATATGAAGGTTCTGCACTGTTCTGTCTTGTCTTCTTAATTATTGTTCAAATACCATCCTTAAGAATGGTATTATAACATTTTGATAATAACGCTAAATTTTATTTTGTTACTGGCAGATATGGTCACATATTGAAAAGTTGGATGCAGAGGTATTGACAGAAGATGCACCTCTTCCTTTACGGTCAGCCGTTTATTCTGGTCTTCGAAGACCAATTAACGAGGCTTGATGAATTTGTTATTTCACTTCTGATCTTTATTTTTTTAGAATAATATTTGTTATCTAGTATGTTAGTTAAGCATTCCCGTAGTATATCAAAAGCGTAAAGCTGTATGCAATTGTAATGTAAAATCACAAGGTTGGTATGAGGAGTCTCCGCAGTTTTGATTCTGATGGTGACTTGATCGCTGCTACTGTACATTATTTATTTCGCTGATAGCTACTAATTAGACTTTAAATACAGAATGAACTTTGCACACCACCTGTGATGTAGTAATGCAAAAATTTGAGGCTTAAAAATGCATTGTGATTATTGCTTTCAGACGCTCGTTTATATAGGTGTGGATAAAATGGACGTGTTTATGAGAAATTCTGTAATCTCGGGGGAAAAAAGTACTTAAAGGGACAACAGAGTTAAAACACTTGTTCGGAACAAAATTACATTGTGAGGGAAAAATTATCACAGCTTATAAAAAAATAACATCATTTGGATAGGTATATTACGTGTGTATCTCAACAAGCAGGATGCAAGTAGAGATTTAATACACAAATAAACTGTTTTTAAATTTACATAAAATAATGTTTCCAAGAAATCTGATCAGACTTTGTTCCAATCTTAAATCCGATCACGTCGTTCAAGTTCCGCTTATTCAGAGAAAACATTTATTTTTTAATGAATTTAATTGAATTTTAAAATTGAATTTTTTTCATTGGCATTCAATAATGAATTGTTATATAGTTAAAATACTATTTTTTATAATAGCTTCTCAATAATTTATATTTAAAATAACTTTTAATTGATTAATAACATAAAAACCTATTCCTTGAAGACGTATCAAAGTTAAGCTCATTTTAATTAATACTGAATCTACTAATAGTAAAATGTTGATGTCCTTATTCATTTTTAAAGATTGGTAAAATTAATTATAATTAATTATATTTTAATTAATTTTAAATCATTGAATATAATTGAAACATGTTTTCAAATTAATATGAATTTTATAAATTTTATATTAAAACGTGTTATTTTGTGTAAAATTGATTTTAAGTGGTAATCAAACAGAGATTAACTAAAATTGATAGTAGCTGCCTATGCAGTTCTCGTTTAACATTGAATAAGATTTATGAAAAGCACGTTGAATATTTTAAATTGCAAAAGTTGTTTATCATTGTCTTTTCCGGTTCAAGTCATAGAGATCCTCCGTGTGTTTCCCCCAATTTGGAACCTCTCCTGCAATTTTTTCTCTCAAGCCTCTCTCCTGCAACATTAATAGCCATTAGATATATCTAATAGCTCAAATTTAATCATTTAAGAAGTTATATTAATTATAAGATTAAATTTAAGCTATTAGATATATCCAATGACTATTAATATTGCAGGAGAGGATCCAAATTCGTGTTTCCCCACATATGGATAAAGCGAAAAACTTTACAACTCTAAAGTATGATTTTGGTAGCACTAATGTCTGAGAAATTTGTGGTTGAGGGCATGCAATATTTGGAGTGCATTGACAAAATTAACTTGACAAATTATTATACGTTAAGAGAGTGTACAGCTACTAGATAAAAGATATGTGCAAAATTTGCGAATAAATAAATAAATTATTGTATTAGATAAAACTAGAAATTTGTTCATAATTGTGTACCGTGGTAGTATGATTCATTGATATTGAACTTAAAGTGCCTTCAGAATGCCACCACTTCAGAGGATGCTTAGTTGTTGCTTGTTAGTTGTCACAGAAATTCGTTGTATATGGTTAGTTATAGCTAGTTGATATTTTACATGTATATAAGACACAGTTATACTAAATTTTATCATTTTTCAATCAATTTAATTTTTACGTATCCTCTCTTTGCTCTTAGAGCTCTACGATGTTTCTCGACATTGCTATTTAACAATTCACATGAATTAGCTCCTTTATTGTAATCCCTATTTATTCACATGAATTGAACCTCATGTTGTAACATCTATTTATAGCTGCATTGGTCAACTCTAGAAAGGAGATGGATTGGGATTGTTGGATCATTTTATTTTATTTTTTTATTTGTAGTTTTACGAAACTTGCGGTTATACATATATTATTGCATGTATTTCATGTACTTCAGAAGGTAAGGTACAATTGCTTTGGTATTAACAACTATGACACATAATTATTTTATTCCCAATCTAAGATCTATCCAAACATTATATTTTGTTCTGAGACAATGTTGGGGTATTCAAATTTACTACGTATGTGTGGGACCATAAGAGTGGTGAGATCATCAGCAGAAAACCTCCAAGTTTACACCCATACTCTTTTTTGTCATCAACTTTTAATTCCATTTGCCACTTCTCTGTAGTGTGTACCATGCAGTGTGGACCATACTGCATGTTGGTCTTGTGAATCTCACATGGTCTAGGTGATTTTTCAATTACTATGTTATCTTTGCTTCAAGAGGATTCACATTTCCTACTTTACTTCTCCCCTTATTGAAGTTTATAAATTAAATTAGATAAGCATAGAGAAAGATATAAGATTTGACACATTTAAAAAAAGATAGAGAACTAAAAAAACTTTTACATATTTATTAGAACCAAAGATGTTTAACCTAAGTGTTTTTCATGCATATAGTCGGAAATGAAACCCGTTAATGACTTGCTTATTGAACACAATTATTTATATCAACTTTGTTGGACTGCAATTGGTAACAACCATAGTCTACATGGCCAAGGGATTTAACCATCTACAAACTGTGTCAAACTTTGTGGAAGAATTTGATATGCTGGCAGAATCTTAAATTTTTAATTACCTTTGTTTAGTTAAATTTTACCTTAGATATCCATGCATGTGCATCTAAATGATCTAATGGTACTATTTCAAAACCAGAAGATAGGATGAAGATCCTCATCATGTACCATGGCCTAGTATTCACATGGTAGGGTGTGCATACAAGGCCAAAAGAAAGTGGGGCCCCTTGCATTAAAAAATTCCAAAGCCTTCAGCATGTGAACTGTTAAATGAATCTGATGGTGGCATCACTACATGGTTGTTCACTGTCCCCTGCACAGTTCCAATTTCCTCATTTACCTTAGAAAAATGGAATCTCTATTATACTGATGACAACCGACAAAACAATAGAAACTAAAGGTTTTAATAAATATGGGTCCAAATAATCAACAAACATGTGGATGAACTTGTACGGATTATTTCAGCTTACTTGATGATCTCTAGTTCATGTCTCGAGTAAATATGTAGCTGTATTGAATATTTAGAGATAAAATTTTACTGTCCATAATGATGCTATTCGAATATAATAGAATTGTGTGTTGATGCACATAATCTATTAAAAGAAAAAAAAATATGGATGCAAAGAGATAATATACGACACGCCACTTGCTTACCCCGTGATGCTCACCAAATGCACCTAAAAATTAAACTTTCACAATAAACACACTGCTATTGTTGCTACCTTATATTACATCTTTCACCTACTTGAAACTCACATTACATCTTTCACATAACTATCTGAATTCTGAACCCTTGGTTAAAATTCTGAGACTTACTCATGGCCACTATGACCAAGATGTTATTTTCCCTTGTCACTTTGGTTATCTTGGTTGGCAATTCAAAGGGTGTAAGTTCAACTTCTGAGCCAACAATTTCAGCTTCACCTGGTGTTTTGCCTTATGTGACTGCCCCAGATATTTCTTCATTTTTTCCCACTCCTAGTGCCAATGAACCAATGAGTTCTGGTGCTCCTTTTGAGGCTGAGGCACCTTCACCTGCCCCCACTTCAGGGGAATTTGAGGGCAAGAAATCTTCTGGTTCAGCTAGGTTGGATTGTGCAGGTGTTATTGTTAGTGTTCTTCTCTGTTGTGCCTTGATTAGTAGCATTAGCATAGTTATTGTTTGAGCATGTAGGTTGGTAGTTTTTGTCTTAAGGGGTAGTGAATTTCACCCATTACTTTGTATTAGTCCATGTTCAGTGATTTCTTTGTTGCTTGCTATACTAGATAGAGATTACTTGTGCCGAATTCTACAATTCTTCTTTGTATTGTGACCATATTTCGTAGGATTTGAAAACTTGCTGTAGGATAGTTGAATTTGAATGAGTATTGTTACGATATTCTTTTATTTTGTCAGCTTATCTTACACTGCTATTTTTATTCTTGCAAATTTTGTGGTGATACTGTGAAAATAATTGTACCTGTGAATGTGATGCAGATGTAATTTCTCAATTTGAAAATATTTATTATTCTGGCTTTATACTGTTTATTCCTCGCATTGGACTCGTTGTGGAACGCAACACTGCAGTCACATAGTACTTTGTGTGTGATGCTTATTTAATTAAAGAAAAAAATTTAATTGGATAATAATGTAAAACTATTTTATGAGTCACCATGAGCTTAATTAAAATGGATAGGTTGTTATTTATCCAGAAAATGATGAGTTGCTTCCTTTTAGCAAAAGTGCGTTGTGAAACCAATTTGTACATTAGATTAATTTGTATGTATACTAAATGCAAAATCAATCGAAATTAACTTAATTATAAGGCAACACAAATTTATGATAGATAATAATTATAATTGGATGACAAATGTAAATAAATCTAAAAGCTGGGAGTAAAAAAATATTTTCTCTTTCAAACATTACTTGTACATCAAGGAGATCCGATTCACAAAAAGGAGTTGATTATTTGTTTAAGAGCTGCAAAACTGAAATAAGGAGATCAAGATTAAAATTTAAGCAAATAATAATAGCTGCAAAAAGTATAATAAAAGGGAGAAATGAGATTATTTTTTATAACCATGAAATCCCGATTGGGAATCTAATTGGCTATTTATAATGGAATTTTCTTTTTTTAACTGTATTTATTCGACTCATATTTTATCCATAAAATTTAAATTTAAGATTTTATTTAAGAAAATTAAGTTTAATACTTCTTGAACATACAATTTGGTGAAAGAAATCCATTAACTTTCTAAATTTTATCTTTTTATAAATAGATATACATTTGATTTTTTTAAAATTAATTCTTAAAATTGACAGCTTATTTTAAAAACAAACATTCTAAACTTAAGTTTTCAATTAATTCTTATCTTTACTTCTCTCATACTAATTTGTAATTTATTAATTTAATCATGATATTATTAGTTTAATTAGGATCAAATTGATAATAATAATAAAAAATATTTGTAAGATTATATAATATAAAATTATAAATTTTATCCGAGTCTTTATTAATATAACTAGTTACCAATAGTTACGTCGATGAATCATACTCAACTATTTATCTCAACAATTATTTGTTGTATCTATTTTTTTTTATTTGTTGTTAGTTAGAATCAATTTTTTGTTTTCTATTATACCTTTTTCAGCTTTGTTCTAACTTTAATACAAACCATATTCTTCATCATAATGAAATAATGTTATCAACACTTTCATTCATTCTCTCTCTCATTTATTTTTCTACATTGATTTGTGTTTAGTTTTGTTATGGTATCAAAACCTTCTTAAAGAGCTCTATTATGCACTCGTTTTTGGCTTATTAGTTTTGCAAAGATGAGTGGAGAGGCTCATCAATATCTTAATGTTCATAGTTACTTGTATCTACATCCAAATGATAATCCTGCTAAGTCACTTGTTTTTCCTTCCCTTGGTTCAACAAATTATCATTCTTGGAGTAAGTCTATGATAACTGCCTGGACACCATGAATAAAGTGGAATTCATTGATGGAAGTGCTCCACAACCATTAAAGAACAACATAATGATCCTCACACTAGCACTATCTCTCCTCTACCTTTCACATATGAGCAAAGCTACCTTGAAACACCTGTGCCCATAGTTGACACTATTGACCCATCTTTTTCCAATGTTGATTATATTCCTTCACCTAGCTCAACTATCCTTCATCGTTCTACTTGACAATGTCAACCACCCTCATATTTGAAGGACTTCCACAACACTCTTGCATCAACTTCCACCAACCTAATTCCAATTATTCGTTATCCTATTGAAACATATATGTATTATATTGTCTTTCACACCCACATATCACCATTTTATTGCTTCCATATCTACTATGATTGAGCTTACTTCTTATGCTAAAGTTGCAAATAGTGACTAGTGGCTTTAAAGCCATGAAATACGAAATATATGCCCTTCAAGTAAACCAAACTTGGACGCTCATAACACCCTCGCCTCAAAAAATTTCCATTGGGTGTCATTGGATATATAAAGAGAAGTATAATGTTGATGGAACTATTTAATGATACAAAGCACACCTTATCACCAAAGGTTATACTTATATGGAAGGATTGGATTTTCTTGACACATTTTCTCTAGTTGCTAAGCGTACTACTTTGAGGCTCCTTCTTGCTCTAGTTGTCATTTATAATTGGAACCTTAAACAATTTGATGTAAATAATGCATCAGAGAGATACATGAGGAAACAAAATCCTCCTCTTTCATTTATAACAAAATGGTTCAAATCCTAAATAGAAAAAAAGGTTTAAAAGAAATCGTAAAAATGTGTATGCTATACACCCTTTTCCTTGGGATTGTAGTTAAATTGGTCAAAGCACCACCCTGTCAAGGCGGAAGCTGCGGGTTCGAGCCCCGTGAATCCCGATGAATACAAATCCAATAAAAAAGACATTCGTTCATTTTTTGTGTGAAAAGGAATCAAAAGAATAAACAAAAATTTATTCCTAATAGGGATATCTTCTGCTTTTTTTCTTTTTCCAGGTAAGGTAATTATATGTAATTGCCTCCCTACCTTCATCCAACTCATCCCAACTAGGTTTGCAAGCTTCAACTTTCATTATACGAGTTAAAACAAGCTAGTTGACAATGGTTTGCTCGACTATCTTCCTTTCTTCCCAACCATGGTTACCACTAATCTCCATTTGATCTGATGACATTATGCGTAGAGACCAAGTCCTATAGGAATTCAGAGGGGTGAGCTAGACTTGAAGAATGATGACCCTAGCTTTTATTAAGTGTTGGGTCACTTTTAGTAGCTTACTTTCTCTTCTTTGTGTATATTTTTCCTTGTAAATATCTTTCTTAGTTTTTAGCTTGTATTTTTGGTCAAGTATTGTAGGAATTCATTTCCTTGTAAAACTTTATGTTTTGGGGGTGTATATAATATTTTAGGGGTGTAACTAGAAAATGAAATATGAGCTTATTGAACTTGAATTAACCCATGGAATCATCTTAGATGTGTGGTCCAAGCATTTGGACGTCCACTTCTAGTGGACAAGGTGCTCCATGGTTAATTTAAGCTCCAACAAGTCACATGTGTCACACCTATTCACACTTTTGATATTTGTGAGATTAATACATAGTTTTTATCCTTCAAAGGTCTTAGTTCTCTCTCTTGGAAATACTTCTCCTTAATAACTTTTATCAAGAATTTTCTCCTTATGGCAAGTTCATCCCTCTTGCTCATCTTCCTCTTAGAAGTGGTGCGTCTCACCTCTATTCTCTCCATTGTTTGTAGTTTGTTTTGAAGCTTTTGGATTCCATGGAAGAAGATTAGGAACACTTTCACCAATCACTTTCAACCTAGTTTCATCATGATTATTCATTATTTCTCAAGTTTTCTGGTTCCAAGACTGCAACCCTCCTTGTCTATGTAGATGATATTGTCCTTAAAGGTAACAACATTTTTTAAATACAACATATTACTTAGATTCTTGATGCCATGTTTAAGATAAAGGACTTTGGTGATCTCAAATATTTTATAGGACTTAAAGTTACTCAGAATAATTTTGGTATTCACATATTTGAGCACAAATACATCCTTGACATCCTCTTGGATTGCAAGATGCTTGCCTTTTGCCTAGTTTCCACACCCATGGATTATTGCACTTGTCTCTCTATAACAATCAACACTCCTCTCTTAGAACCACAGGTTATTACAAACTTATTGGTAGACTCATTTATCTTACCACTACTTATCTTAACATCACTCATGCAGTTCATCATCTTAGTGGATTTATCTCTGCTCTTACCATGACTCATTCCCAAGCTACTTTCTATATGTTGTGTTACTTGAAGCAAGATCTTGGCTCAGGTATCTTTATGCTCTTCCTTCCACCATTTGTGATCTTTAATGATCCACCTACCTCCTTGAAGATTTACGATTGTTGTTTACTTACCGTTTTACTTTTGGTCATTACCCAAAAGGCCTCTCAATCATTGAAGTATGTTTGTATTATATAAGTTGTTATTTCTTGTGTTATTTTATCGATGTGAGACTTGTTTGAATCCCAACACATAGATTTCATGAAAGCTTCTACACCCAAAAGAAAAGGAACTAAATATTTTGTCATGGTTGACCTATGCCAAAGTCTAACGTAGTAGCAGGAATACTGATAGATGATTCTGAAACATTTATTCATGTCTTCGTTAAGTTGTTATGAATTCCCAATGATGTAATCCAAGTGAAAATTGTTGGAAGCTGTGAAATTAACAAACTCCCTCATCATAGAATATATCAACAGCCACCATGAGTGGCATCGTCTTCAGAACAAGCGGCACAGCACGAACCAAAAGCGCGAACCTCACAAGCATGTTCGGGAAATACGTGGAAAAAAGCAGCGTCCATAGCTGGAACACAATCATCGCAGACCTCGCTAGAAGCGGCGATTCCTCAGAAGCTCTAAGCGCCTTCTCCTCGATGCGGAAGCTCTCACTGCACCCCAACCGCGCCACCTTCCCCTGCGCCCTCAAGGCCTGCGCCGCCCTCTCCGACCTCCGCGCCGGCGCTCAGACCCACCAGCAGGCCTTCGCCTTCGGCCTCGCCCACGACCTCTTCGTCTCCTCCGCCCTCATCGACATGTACTCCAAGTGCGGCCTCCTCGACCACGCTCACCACCTGTTCGACGAAATTCCCCACCCCAATGTCGTTTCCTGGACGGCCATAATTGCCGGCTACGTCCTCAACCGCCGCCCCCGCGGCGCCGTGCGCGTCTTCAGGGAGATGATGGTCCATGATAGCGGCGCCGTGGACGCCGTGCTCCTGGGGGCGGTGCTCGCGGCGTGCTCGCGGGTGGGGCGGCGGAGTGTGACGGAGGGGGTGCATTGCTTGGTGGTCAAGAAAGGGTTTGAGGGGAGTGTGGGCGTTGGGAACACTTTGATGGATGCTTATGCCAAGTGTGGGGAGATGGGGGTGGCTAGGAAGGTGTTTGATGGGATGGATGAGAGTGATTTTGATTCCTATTCTTGGAACTCTATGATTGCTGTGTATGCGCAGATTGGGTTGTCTGATGAGGCTTTCTGTGTTTTTGGTGATATGGTGAAGAGTGGCAAGGTCAGGTATAATGGGGTCACATTGTCCGCGGTGTTGTTGGCCTGCGCCAATTCTGGAGCTTTGCAGCTTGGGAAGTGTATACATGATCAGGTATGGTATGTAATGCATTGGTTTGATTAAAAGTTTACATTTTGGTGCTTACATGAAAAACTCTATATTTTGGTCCCTGCCTGTTAAAATGTTTGTGCATTGGTCCAAACCGCTTGTTGAAGTTTTAGCAATGTTGGATGTTTGCCGAGTTGGCTTGGCAAACATTTTAAGACGGCTTTAGAAGGGCGTTTGATAGAAGTGAAATTTCTTCATCTCTAAGAATTATGATCCTTGGAATCTAAATTGAACCATGATTTCCTTAATGATTAAATTTTTTTTGGTTGGTCATAAATGGTTTTTAGAATATTTATATGTTATTTGGGAATCAAATTTTTTGACTGTATTACATAAATAAATAAAGATAACATGATACTTTTGTTGCAATAAAATTTTCCTTTTAATTTGGGAATGTTAGATTTCCCCCTTCTCCATGGAAATAATTTTGTAGAAAATTTATGTAAAAATCATTTTTAGGAAGCAATTTTTATTAAGAATGTTATTTGTTTAAATAATAAACTAAACATAGAAAACTAACATTCCTAATTTTAAATTTCTTCTGGAAAAGTAAAACAAAATTGTGTATCAAATGCCACCGAGATGTGAAACTCTACAAGTGTATAATAGCATTATAACTACGGCAATTGGTAGGGGCCAATTTGTAAATATTTTGTGTGCGAACCAAAACGGAGTTTTTATTTTTTATTTTCATTTAAGGACCAAAATTAAAACATGGTGTCAGCTGTCCAAGTTTAAGGACCAAATTTTAATTTAGCCTTATTTTTTGTTCAAATATTTAACTGGTGCTTAGGTGAGAATTGCTGGTCTCACTAGCCTTTTTCTTGTACTGTAGGTTATAAAGATGGATTTGGAGGATAATGTGTTTGTAGGTACATCTATAGTTGATATGTACTGCAAATGTGGGAGAGTTGAGATGGCTAGGACGGCATTTGATCGCATGAAAGAGAAGAATGTTAAGACATGGACTGCTATGATTGCTGGTTATGGGATGCATGGCCGTGCAAAAGAGGCTATGGAAGTATTCTACGAGATGATAAGGTCTGGAGTCAAGCCAAATTACATTACTTTTGTGTCAGTTTTGGCTGCTTGCAGCCATGCTGGTATGTTAAAAGAAGGCTGGCATTGGTTTAATAGAATGAAATCTGAATTTAATGTTGAACCTGGGATTGAGCATTATTCGTGCATGGTTGATCTCCTTGGGCGTGCTGGCTATCTTAATGACGCTTATAATTTAATCCAGGAAATGAATGTGAAACCTGATTTTATTATTTGGGGTTCTCTTCTCGGGGCTTGTAGGATTCATAAGAATGTGGAACTAGGGGAGATCTCTGCAAGAAATCTATTTGAGTTAGATCCAAGTAATTGTGGGTATTATGTGCTACTCTCCAATATTTATGCTGATGCTGGAAGGTGGGACGAAGTTGAGAGGATGAGGTTATTGATGAAGAGTCGTGGATTGCTTAAAACCCCTGGATTTAGTATAGTGGAACTCAAAGGTAGGATACATGTATTTTTGGTTGGAGACAAAGAACATCCTCAACATGAAAAGATTTACGAGTATTTGGACAAATTAAATGTCAAGCTGCAAGAACTTGGCTACATGCCAAATGTAACGTCAGTGCTTCATGACGTTGATGAGGAAGAGAAAGGAATGGTTCTAAGAGTTCACAGTGAGAAACTAGCTGTTGCCTTTGGAATCATGAATTCAGTTCCTGGGTCAATAATCCATATCATAAAAAATCTTAGAATTTGTGGTGACTGCCACATTGCAATTAAATTGATCTCCAAAGTAGTAAATCGAGAAATTGTTGTAAGAGATTCTAAGCGGTTTCATCATTTCAAGGATGGGTTGTGCTCATGTGGGGACTATTGGTGACAGCAATTGAAATAAAGGGAATCAGAATCTGTAGTATAGGATGCGCTTTACTTCTCCATCTTCAATATGCACTTAACTACATATGACGTCTCTGAAAATGAATATTTATCTTGAACCCGCTGTTTTTGGAATGAATGGTGGATCAATTAGTTCCAGCAAGGATAATGAAAAAATTTCAGATGGTCTTTTAGATGGTTTACTCCTAGTTTGAATATACAATGTCATAGTACAACCATGAGAGAACCATAGAACTAAGTGCAAATAACATACAGTAATTGTTTTGATTCAAATGTATTGTAAATCATGAAGATTATGCAAAGTTGCACCAAGAGTGGAGTCGCTATAAGTGCTCATTTGCTTACGAAAGGACAGAGTATATCACAGCAAAGTTCTTCTGGAAATATTCCCTAGTATGTGGCTTGTATATATAATGCAAGACTGAGGATGTAAAGTCTACAAACTATCATGGAGAGCAACCTCTGAAGAGCTTGCTCATAGATCTTCCTCCTGCTCTTGATATCTGTGGTTGATTGCATTCTGAATCAGCATAGGATTGTCTTAAAGAAATCTGGAGGGACTTGTTCTCACGCTTCAATGTTTCCACCTCTAATTGAAGCCTTCTAATGATATCTCTCTTTTCATCATTTCTTTGGACCAACTGTACCAACTGATGCATATTGTCCTCTGCAAGTTTTGTAATTTGATACTTCAGCGTCAACCACGTATTGTCAAATTTGAAATCAATCATTGCTGGATCTTCAATTCTCCAATTTAATTCCGAAACCTCAATTTTCATGGAATCATTTTCAGTGGTGGAAAATTTTGTCTTTCTGTCTTCCTTTTGAGTGTCTCTACATTCAAGTTCTGGTCCAAATCGCATGCTGCATGGATCAGGTGATAACAATTCATTGCATTCGTCACCTTGCTTGTTCAAAAGATCAAAACTGATGTCAGTACCATCAAATTTGATATTGGAATGCTCTGCGGGATATTTTGGATGATGGTTCCAGCCCTCCACGAGTTTTTTATCCTCCAAGTTACATGTTGCTCTTTCATTGCAGATAGCACGAATGGTTTTTGATGTACCAGAAGATGATGAAGATCCTGAATAAAAGGTACCATGAGATGTTTTGAGCTTCAGTTGGTTATATGCTATGGCTAATACACGGTAAGATTGGCCAAATTCTTCAAGCATCTGTATGAGGTCTCCTCTCCATTTGCAATGCATGTATTCTTGGTTTGAAGAATTGCCACCATCTAAAATGGTCTTCATAGCATCCAATTTCTCATCCAATTCTAAAATTCAATCAAAATACCGGAGCTTGTGAGTGAAAACTGCAGCATAACTAGTCAAAGACCTTGCGAAGGTTCCAGTAATGTTTTCTTTACTTTGAGAAACTCCTACAAATAAGACAGACATCCCCGATTTGAACCTGGAAATTTGGATTAGAGGGGTCTCTCTATGAAGAAGGCTAAGGGGTTTCAAGTGGCCAAAAAATGCCTAATTAGTAATTATTTATTTAGTAGACCTTATTAACCGTATATATCAAAACTTGAAGGTATGGTTGCAGTATTTATGTTATATTGACGCCCTTGCCACCTTTTACTCTACCTCTAACTATAATAGTACTCAAGTGCTTAACTTGTTCGTACAACATATTTTTTTAATTTACTAGCTATATTACTGCTTGATAAATCTTGTACAACATATATTTCATTTCAAATGTACTCGCAGTGAACCGCTGATGACCTTTTCTAGATGGGCATTCTTTAATCGATTATATTGAATCATTGACTTCAAACATTTGGGTTATAATTTTCTAGCCACCGTCAAACTCTCACCCACCACCTTTTTGTGGTCAACTGTATTATTTGCAACTTTATTATGTGCTTTCAATCCACAACACAACAAAGTCAAAGAAAGCTAACAACTTGTTAAAAATGGAACTACTAGTTGTACATATTTTTAGTGTGCAACATGCAGCAAAATTGTTACACCTCAGCGTGCATGCGTGTGTATATGTGTGAATGATCCAGAGAGAGAGAGAGTGAGACCTGATATGGTTGTTTGAAGCCATTGAGAGGGGTAGATATGAGCAGAACGCCATGATTGATCTTTATTCTCCATGAACAAATGTGTCATCACCTCAGACTCAGAGCAAGATAATTAATTAGAGGACCAAACGGGGACAACGGAATAAAGAGTAAAGAAGCAAGTAAAGAATTTGAAAAGTAAGTTTTAGTTCATGGACTTAGTATGTAGCAGCCGACAAACGTTAAGCAGATTCTTTGTCAAATTCGAACGCATTCTCTAGGAGAGTTCTATGGTTTCATATGTATTTTACTATTTTAACTCAATTAATTTATATATGTTGGTTCACTTTCCGTAAACCACTCCAATCAATTTGGCTTCTTTAAAATACATTAATTAATTTTTTAATTGAAATTACAATGATAACACAAGGTTCAAACATTAAAATCCTATATTTTCTACATCAACATTTTACTACTAGATCGATCTTAATAATTTTATTTATGCGCTGTTTGGTGAAAGTAAAATGAGTAAAAAAAATAAGAACGGGATGAAGTGAAATTGTATAATTAAGATGAAATAATAAGAAAAGAAATTAAAACTAGATGAGCTTCACAGTTAAAAGTTTCTAGTAGCGAAGAGCAACGTATGTAGCATTTAAACGATTAAGAGTAATTATTTTATTGGTAACATACATTCATAATGCTAAACATCTAAATGGAGAAGTATTTAGAAATTATTGCTTTGAGAAGAACATTTATTTGATATTTCCTATCGATATTCAAACACAATGTAATAAGTCATTATAATCAATAGTCATTATTTTTATATGATTTTTTTTATTTAATTGATTAAATAAAAATGATTTTATAATTATTTTTCTTCAATAAAATATTTTAATTTCCACTGCATTTTTCATGTATTTCTCCTTTCTTTATTTCATCTATTATATTTTTCACTTATTTTTTTTCCTAACAAAAAAATAATTAGTTGAGTTTTAATATTGACCGTCCAGCTGTACATAGTTCGCTGCACAATAAAAAATTGATGGACGAATCTATGGTCATAATTAATCGTACCGTATATTTAAATGTGTGTATAAACCATATAGGTGCGCATAAATAAAAAATGAAAAACGAAAAGTAACGAACCAATAAAGTTTCTGAATATGAAAGAAAATGGAAATAATAGGTTAAGACCTAATTAGTTTTTTTGCCCCATCAAATTTTCATAATTTTCTTATTTAACTTTTCATTTTAATTTTTCTAAAATGAGTTCATTACAAAACATTTTATTTAGCAAATGGTCCTTCTATTTGTGTTTCATTTGTGAAGTGTAAAAATAATAGAAGTTACATAGATAATTTTAATTAGAAAGTGAGTGATAAGAGTAGTTATGGAGATAAAAACATTTGAAGAAAATGTGTATATTAAAAAAATTATATCACCTTTATATATTGTATAAATAGTTTGAGTTATGATTAAAAAATCGTATAGATCAAGAGTTTAAAGAGAATAACGAAATGTTACATATCTGTAGAAATTGAAAATTATTTAACTAAATGTTTTTTTCTGCTACATCATACAAGATGAAACTAAAGTCCAGGAAACATCACACCAAATCTTTTCCGTCAACAGACGAGAACTAAAAGAATTAACACAGAAAATTTAAAAATAATTAATTATTTGATCATTTTAAAATTATAAAAAAATACAAATATTAGAATCACTGGAATAACGTTAGAAGTTGGAATAGTATACGCAATTCTTAAGTTTGAATTATATTTTAATTATTGTGATTTTTCATCAATAATTTTTTTTTTTTTTACAGAAGTAAAATTTAAAAAAACTAAAAAAGAAAAAAGAGTTAGGTGTCTTAAAGTTAAAGATGAGAATGTGGTAAGATATATTGTGACGAATAGAAATAAAGATTAAAATATAAAAATGGCAAAAATTAACGGTCGTTGATGATTCCAATACTATGGCAAAAGAATATACCACCGTCCTCCCACTCTTCAACATTATGCAACAAATGCCATTCATCCTTCTTTTAATTACATTTGCACCACAATGATTGAGCATTCCAATGATAAATAAAATCTTAGAATATGCTTCTATAGGAAATCCTTGAGATGGTTTATACTACACATATGATTATTTAAGTCATTATAACTCAAATTTAATATTGTAAAGAATTGTCACATCTCTATGAGGCTAGTATGCATGTTCATCGACTAATATGTATGAAATAATTGATGATATGATTTGTCTATATTTGAGAATTTAAAAGTATGAAGAAAAATAATCGAGAAAAATAATTTTTTAAATAATCTCATTATTTTAATAAATTAAGGTTTAATTTTGAATTGAAGAATATCGATGTTAAAAAGTTTAAAATATTTTTTTTAGTTTATATCGATAATTCTTTTGTAATATTTTCTCTTTTGTATACTAGTTAAAGATCTTTAATTTTGTATTTTTATGTTAAATTTATTTTATTAAAATTATTTTAAATTAGATCTATCATAATCTCATATCTTTTTTTATTTTCACCAATAATACTCATTGTTGATTGAAACTCATTACTTAATTTTTTTGAAACACTAATAGAATTAATAAATAAGAGGATAAGTCAATTTTCTTCTAGAGATGAGAAAGGTAATTCGATATCAGAAAGGTAATTCAACATTAAGGGAGAAGGAAGGTAATCGTAATCTAATGATAATTCTTTTGTAATTCTTTCTCTTTTGTATACTAAACAAAAATCTTTAACTTTATATTTTTATGTTAAATTTATTTTTGTCAAAATTATCTTAAATTAGATCTATCATCATTTGGTACCTTTATTTATTTATTTATTTACTTCCTACAATACTCATTATTGATTGAAACTCATTATCCAATTTTTTAAATACTAATAGAATTAATTAACACGAGGATAAGTCAATTTTCTTCTAGAGGTGAGAAAGGTAATTCGATATCAGAAAGGTAATTTAACGTCAAGAAAGAAGGAAGGTAATCGTCCAACAATAATTTAAGATAATTTCAATAAAATAAATTAACATAAAAATGTGAATTTAAAAACATGTATCATATTAACACAAAAGAAATAACGTTACAAATAAATTAACGAAATAACGTTATAAATAAATTAACGACAGTAACTAAATTTTTTTTTAAAAAATAAGTATAAGAATTAAAAAATTACTTTTAATTATAAAGACTAAAAAATAAAGTAAGTAAAATCATATGAAGAAAAATATATTTGAAAAAACGCTAATTAGCTTGCAAATTTTGCTAATCAATTACCCATGGGAACTATTCTCCAAGGTATCCTTCTGCTCATTGTAGTGTGCTAGTTTGAAATGATTTAATAGGATGTAAGAGGCTCTCGTTTTGTTGCTGGCTAGTTGGAAAAAAATGTCATATCATATTCATATATATATATATATATAAAGAGAGAGAGGGAGAGAAAGAAAAGATTTATTTATTTTAAATGTTATATAATGTTACGATTCTTGAAAATTGCAAATTCTAAAAATCATGATTCTTGATAATAGTTAAAATATATTTGGTTACTCATAAAAATTCTTAAGAATATTCACACAAAATTCCTGATAATTAAGATTTTAATGTTTAGTTACAATAATATATTTCTGAGTATATAAATATTTTTTACAAAAATATCCTTTATTAAAATAAACTCTTTAGATATATTTATTTACTCAAATCTTATAACAAATAGTACATTAAACTATTTCAAAAAGTTGAAAACTTATTAAAATTATTTAAATATAAAATTGAACAAAAAAATGCTACATTATAATTAAAAAGAATAAAGTATATTATTTTATTTCATTCAAATAAAAAATATAGAAGTGTTAACAAATAATATTAAAATGTATAAACAAAATAAACTTTAATAATATTAAAATTGACAAGGTCTAAGAATAATGAAATACAAGAAAGAAATAGAGACTGAAATAGATATATGGGAGGGAGAGAGAGGGGAGAGAGAAAGAGGAAGAGTGAGAGTGAGAAAGAGAAATAGAAATAGAAGGAGAGAGAGAGAGAGAGAAGAAGGGATAGGGAGAGGGAAAAAGGAAAAGAGAGGGAGAAGGGGAGTGAGAGTGAGAGAGTGCGAGAAAGAGAAGGAGAAAAAGAAATAGAATGAGAGAGAAAGAAATATTTTTTTTTTGTTTCTAAAAGAGATACTATGGTCTTTATATATATATATATATATATGATTTTCCTCCTAACTTAGGAAAGTTGGATTCCCACCTCTTCCATGAGAATGCTTTTGTGGAAAAGTGGGATAAAAATGGTTCCTATAAAACTATATTCTTGGGAATCTCTTTTTTTTTTTTTTTTTTAAAAAAAAGCTATCAAACATGAAAATTTGAGATTCTCAATTTAAGATTTTCAGCAAAGGAAAAATATTTCGCGTACCAAACTTTTCCTAAGAGTAAGTTTATCTAAACTTACTTCACTTAATAAATCATGGTCTACATCAAATTTTGACATTCTAACCATTGAATTAAAAGTTCTTAATTTATAGATCAAGTCTATTAGTTTTTTAAAAAATTGAAAATCATATGATACTTCTTTTTATAAATTCAAATTAATGTATAATTTTTTTTATGATTATTCGTCAATTTAAATTAATGAAGCGATGTATTAAATACTTTTCCATTTTTAAAAAAAAATTGTTGATTGGATCTATGTATTAAGAACTTTTAATTTAACAGTTGAATCGTTGAAATGTGATATAAAACATGAGTTATTGAGTCTAGTAAGTCTACAAAATAATTGAATCTCTCCTCTCATACACACATATGTATATATACATATATACTCACTAATAAGTTATTGGTTTAAGTAGTATTGGACTCAATTTCCTTAAATAAGGTCTTGGATTCAAATATTGTGTATAAAAAAAATTGCTTGTGAAGGGATATCTTATTAAAGCTGGTCAATCAAATTCTTTGACAAAAATTAGTCATCAATCAAGTTGATAAATGTATCAATAACATAAAAAAATAATGTTAACATTATTATCTACCTTATTTAGTATTCTCTCTTGGCAAACAAGCTAAGATCTTCTCTTGTGCAAAAATAACTTGAAATGGTC